ATAGCCTACACCCCTGAGAAGCTAAAATTAGTATAATTTCTAAGAGGTGGCCCTTGTATTCTCGCCAATATGCGTACATAGATTTAAACTACAGTCTAATCAGGATTGGAATAAACTGAGTAATCTAAACAATCCAGACTATAATAGTTAGGTCAGAGATTTTATCTCTATCCACAATTAAAATCGATCATTGTTTTTAATAATACTAGGACAAACTCACGTCGCTTTGCTGATATAATATTAGACAAAAACAAAAATTGCAAATTATGCTCAATCTATTGCTTTGAATAGACTGAACAAATTGATCATGATTAATAATGTAAAAGCAAACATCCTCTTACCAGTTTTTAGTCAGATTGTCCCTTAACCACAATATTGACGATATGAAATGGATTGTAGTTCACACTTTGGTGGTCTAGAGCTATAGAGTCCAGACTGAACTATTGCCATTGCCAATATACTATTAGTCATCCGAATATTTTCAGCCTAATTAGTGTCTCTTTGACGACCCACTTGTTAATTAGAAGTGATCAATCTTGTAATCTAAAATGTGTCTTATCGAATGGTAATGCTATCTGTTAATTATTAACAAATGGGTACATTATCGTGAACCGTCAGCAAAGCGACGGGAGTTTGTACTAGTATTATTGAAAAGATGAGAATAATTAGTCATCTGAAGACGAGTTTACAATTCAGTGATATAATTATTGCTTAAACTATGGTATTGACGGTGTAGAATAGCCATAAGTTCATATCTGTATAATCCACAATCGTTTTACAGTCCTAAATAGTTTTATTTGAAACACAAGAATCCTATATCTTCTCATGATATACAGTAGTTCTAATCAAACGTTAAACCATAATATTGATAATGCTGCTGACAAAATCTGGCCATATTTGTTAGTCATATAGTCTACAGTCTCATTTGATTACTATTTGAAATACAAGAATTATTTGTACGAGAATTCTATGTCTTCTTAAAATATAGCATCGAATTAAACGATCAATAAAATTGTAAAATAAACGATTAAAAATGGCCATACTTGACACTGATGCCGTCTACGGAGTCTTATTTGATTATTATACGAAATACTCGAATCCTTCGTCATTTTAAGATATAGTATAGAATCGAATGATCAGTTAAGCCATACCATAGACGACAAAAAGGGCCATACTTGATACTCATATAATCTACAGAGTTTTATTTAATTATTATTTGAAATATGAGAATCCTATGTCATCTTAAGGTATAATATCGAATCAAATGATCACTCAAGTCGTAATATTGATAGCAAATAGTACCTATACTTGGTGCTCATGCAGTATAGGCTTATTTGAAATAAGGGAATCCTATATCATATTGAGATATAAAATTTCTAATCAAACGATTAGTAAAATCGTAACGTGGATGACAAAAAAATGGCCATGCTTGATCGTCATGTAGTCTAGAGAGTCTAAATTGATTGTTATCTGAAATATGAGAATCCTACGTCATCTTAAGATACATTTTATCTACTTTGGGCTTGATTTAGCCTACACAGCTTATTTTCCATAGTGCCACCGAAGTTAATCACGTTGTATACTTTCTAATCGAATGATCAGCTAAACCGTAATATTGATGATAGCAAATGGTCGTACTTGATACTCATACAGTTTCCTAAACGAATAGATTGATGTATTCTTATTGGTGATCTAAAATAGTCGTACTTCAAACTCCTGTAGTCTGTAATTATTAAATAGAATATTAATCTAATTATCCAAATTAAAAATATACGATTAGTCATCAATTAAAGCCTTGTATAAAAGTCAACAAATAAACCAATCTCCGATTTTGATATAAATGAATCTCCAATGATGCTATAAATGAATTGAGTTGACCAATACAGCATTCCTAGTACAAATTTATTAGCTCTCTCTTTCTTACCTCCTATCTAAAACTCCCTTTCTGATGGATTGAAAGTTCAGCTTATCATCCATTATAATGCGTATTTATTTTTGTTCATTAAAATGTTAATAATCTCCCTTCAGTTAATCATGCCATATAAATAGATTGTAAGATATTATTCATGACCTATTGTTATGCAATGGAATCATTGAATTGGTAATGTTGCCGTTGATGATTCTGCTGCTGTGTTACTTTGTAACAAGAGCCACATATGTATTTTTTTTCCTCTCGATCCTGGCGATGAATATCGTCGATTATTGACGAAGGGATGGTAGAAAAATAACACTTAAAAACGGATAACAAGTTGATCAGTTCCGGTTTTTCCGATGTATACAATATCCATTTTCCAATTCAAGGATAAAAGCATTTGAAGGAATGATTGAGTAATATTATTGATGACGGTGGATTAATTCTGACTACATTGTTTGACTGAAGAAGAAAACTAATCATCGTGATGGATTATTAGTGCAATTCTTCAGTGATTAACCGCAATTACAAGGCATTTGCACCACAGTTAAAAACAAAATCGCGATGGCCTTCACCACTAATGAATCCGCTATTAGTAATTTTACAATCCCATTTACTCAAGGCTTAATTGCATCTCATATTCTCTTTTTTGCTATCGGAGTAACTGGTAATTCTGTTGTCTGTTGGAATGTTTTACGAACCTTGAAAAACTTTAAAATTCATGATTTTTTGATCTTGAATCTAGCCTTGTCTGATCTTTTATACGCCATCGTTAGGTAAGTTATCAAGAAATAGATCATGGATACTTGCTTTCCTTTGAAGCGTAGTTCTATCCTGTTTAATATTTGACGTTATACCTTAGCCATAGATATTAATTTTAAGGTTGTTTGCTAGATTAAATATTCTTACTAAGCTACCTATTTCCACATACGTTTGAATACGGCTATAACAATTTTCTTCAGTACGGAATTATTCTATTTGCGCTAGTTCTTCTTTCACTCTAAAAGTGACCCATTCCGGTTTTTTTAGCATGATTTTATGGAAAATGGTTTTCCTACAAGTTGATTATAAGGACTGTAAAGAAAATGATTGATTTTCAATTCTAATTCATCATTGAATGATATTTCTTTCGCCATCTTTTCTCTAGCTATAATATCGATAGCAGCTATACATTTCTTGTGCTTTCGCGAATCTAACACAAAGTTTATTCAGTACTACTACAATTTAAGGATGGATCACGGAAGTTCTATATACATGAGAAGAATAAATTATCGCTTCCAGATTGCTAATTAATCCTCCACTTATCTCTTAACTACGCTACTGTTGATGTATTGTGAGTTTAGACATGATCTCAAAGAAATATCAATCACTAAGCCTTGTAAATTAATTACTGTTAAATTAATGATCATGATTTTTTTTGGTCAAATCATTGATCTAAATGACTGATATGATAGTTGTTCAGATACAAAGACGAAAAGAGATTTAATCTTGATCAATTAATACTAATAAGCTATAGGCCAGAATAAAATTATTTGGTCATGATATGAGCAATAATATAATTAAAGTGCTACCGGATTAATAGTTATAACATAAGTCAGGCGTCTGTAATCCAAATTTCCAATCTTAGTATATGCTGCTGAAACAGTGATAAAATAGATGTTTAATTTGTTAATTCGCTAGAGTACACAACATGAATTTAATTAATCTTATCCGCCTTTTCGTAGTGTATTTATGCTCAATCAGTATAGAGTAAATCAATCTTTGCCATTCAGTATCGATGGACGCGTAAATGCTGCCCTAAAATATCCGGAAAGAATTCAAGAAATTAAAGTTCTAGAAGCTTTAATTTCTTATAAAACTTTTACTCTTTATGATATTTTCGTAAATTGGTTTGTCAGCTAAAAGTTGCCTAGAACTGCTACCTTCAGTCTGACCGTCTACGGTAAAATGGGACAATTTCTTTAAATTTTGAACTGTTCTTAAGCAGTCTTATAGCTCAAGATTCAGCTATTTGGGACCGCATTATAAATACGTTTTGGTTTCCTCTAGATTAGTTTCCTACTTTGTCATCTCTCAGTTTGTTAATAACATGCAAAGTAAGTTTAATCATGCAAATAAATTCCATCAGTTGGTTGAGTTACTAACAAATTTTGACTCTACGAGCACTATCCTACCCCCTAAGCCTTGTGATTTTACTGCGCCAAACCGCAGAAAGAAAATTAATTCGCTAGATAGCAAACATATATTGAAAATTCTGCTACTCTGCCTTTGACTGTTCTATTCCATGTTAACAAACAGGAAACCGATGACCTTAGTCCGTCTACTAAAGTAATTGGTACAGAATTATTCTAGTCTCCCATCATTGAGTATTTTTACTCTCTTTCCATTTTCGCCCGACACAATAGTTATTGAAAAGAAAATGCACCTTCACTTACCTAACTAATGGATATTTCTCGAATTTAACGATCATTATAATGTACTTACAGTTGGAAATATGCCACACTATATTCTCGTCTGCTTAACTAACATGATGTTTTTTTTCTTTTACCTTTGCAATATCTTTCTTTATTTCATGGCCGCCAATATTACTCGTTGTTATTGTAGCTTTTCAATCTTTATACCCGTCTTACAACAATTTCTGGAAGGTAATGGTCTTCGATTCGATGCTAATAACATAATATGCCGCATATACAGTGCGCTACCACTTTACTTTGGCTATGCCAACCTGAATTCTATGACTTTGCTTGCTGGTGTGCGCTATATCATCATTGTCAAACCCCAGCAATCTTCAAGATTAAACGATAAATCCTCCATCGCCATTATTTGCATCATTAATTGGATTCTACCTATTGCTTTTATTATTCCTCAAATTTTTGGCGTTTGGGGTCGATTTCTTTTCTTAGCTGATATTGGCTTATGTGTAACTTATGCTAGTTATACGCAAGGAACAAGTCAAATCTCCCATTTTATTATCGTTTCTATTTTTCAATTTTTCTTACCCATCTCTATTTGTTGTTGGTGTTACATGGAAATCTTTCTAGAAGTTCGTGGTAGTAGGAAAAGAGTATTTGGTATGACTGCTTCCCCATCAAGAAATGAAAATACTTCTGAAGGACTCAAGAAGTCAACAAGTTTAACTCTCAGTAATAATAAAAAGACAGAATTAGCTGTAGCCAAAACGCTATCTGTCATCTTATTAATTTATCTCATATCCTATGTGCCATATAGTATCATCACCGTAATCGTATTTTGCAATCCAAAACCAACACCAGCGCTACTCAAAGTTCAAGCTGTGATGATCCAAGTTACTTATATAGCTAATGTTTCCAATCCAATCGTATTTCTATTTCGTAGTCCCAAAACTCGAGCTAAAATCCAAGAATGGTTTGCATTAATAAGGGGACACTGTCATCAATCCAAAACCAAAATTACAAATATATCTTCTCCTAACTCTTCCATTATCGAATAAAACATTTTTAACGTTTACTTCTTTTAGGATAATCTGGATCGATTGAATCATAACGATAGACTTTAATAACACGCCAAGGTTATCTTCATAACGTAATACTTCAAATCTATTAATCAAAAATATCAAATTTTCAACATATCATGAATTGTGCGATAGAATCTAGATGCTATTTCATGGAGAAACTTATTTATACAGCTGCTGATAACCGATGCAATGGATGTGAGGAGGGTTGGCGGAATCTATATTTATCATTTATGCCTAGCTCATATAGGAATATCCAGTAACATCTTCTATTTAATCTTCTATGAACATTATCCTTTTCCAACTTTCATTCATATTTAATGTTACTACAATGTAAAATCCAGGTGTATCATGCTTATGTTTGGTATATACGTGTAGAAATTGGAAGTAACGGTTTTTACTTTATCATCAATGTGCACTATCTTCTTCCAGAGCTATATCAGAATGTTCAAGATACTGCATTAACCAGCTATAGTTGAAGATTATTCTGAGCAGAAGCTACCCAATATAAGACGTTCGGCTATTTTCATCAATACTTACCTGGGATTATGTTCTCACTGAAGCTATGGAGAGTTGAAACTGCTCCAAGGAAATATCATGTTCAAGTTTCCGTTTCTAAAGTCCAAGATGACTATTTTTAGACTTATAAAATAGACTTGCAAAAACTGGAAACTTACGTAGCGTTATTATCCATATATTTTGCACTAGTCCATTTGGCCCATAAATTGTGAAAGTTGGTTTAAAAATGATAGTTATACCCGGCTTTCAAGCAGTATGATCTTCTCAAAAGCGCCTTAAGTAATGATACAGTACCTGTATATGCTATATAGGTATCATGGAACGGAAAAGTGGATTATCTTTCTGATTCTAATCAAAGTAACAATCTTCTCTCTACAGTGGATAAATATTTTGGCCGGTAAATGGTTATTTAATCATCGAAAATACAGATCTGAAATTGAATGGAAAGATTTTGCCTTTGACGCTGAATACGATCTGCAATCGGTATTTGGCAAGAATGTATAACATTGCTGATGGACTTTTCGTTCTTGAGATATAGAAAGATGACCTTTCATTTCCAAAAGAGCCTTGATTAGTGAACGATAAATTATCGTAGCTTGTAAAGATAGATCTCATAAAAGAGGTAACTTCTACAGATTTATTACTTATATTGTTGTATAGGTAGGACACTAAGGAAAAGATATACTAGTATTAACGTACTGTATATAAATTAAAAGCGCATATGCAAACTGCAAAAGATATTTGTACATAGCATTCTTAAACTAATAGCCTTATTTATAGTTATTATTCAAGGTATTAGTGATCAACTATTATAATTGAATCAAAATCATCCGAGACTTTAGATGTAATCATCTGCGATAAGCCGTATTTTTAATAATTTATAACGATAAATTTTCAGCAACGAAAGTTCAATTATAAATTATTGAGCAGATGAAATCTACTTTTGTATATTATTTGTCGCAAAGTGTTGCAAAGCTAGACCATCAATTTTATCGATTTTTCATACAGAGTACCTGGATAGCCTATTTCCACGAATTAATCTATTTCAAATATAATAAAGTTTTGATACATCAATATTTGCTTGCAGTGTGCTTATTAATTCTTGATAATTTCATGTATTTCTAGGGTTGTGCTTACATCGATTCTTTAACTTTGTCATACGTTATTTCCGATGGATTAATCAGTTTTCAAATACAATAAAGTTACTATATCAAAATTTGGATAGAGTACCTTCGATATTCTTAATCTTAATTTTGAAACACGATATGATTAATTGAATCGATAACCGGTGAATGAAATCGAATATAGTAACAACATTTCTATTTGATAATTTCCTGCTTTCCAGGGTTACACTTAGATCAACTCTTAAACTTTGACATACGTTATATTTCCCATGAATTGATCAATTTTCAAAGTATAGTAAAAATTATTGAGCCAGTACCTGCTTGTAGAGCGTTCATTAATTTGATTTTGAAACGATTTGATTCAAAATTAATTTAATCGACATTCGATGAATAAAATCGGATATAGTAACATTTATATTTGACAATTTCCTCTTTACCAGGATTACATTTAAATACGTTATATTTCCCATAAATTGATCAATTCTCAAATATAACAAAAATTTATTACATCAGTATTTAGTAATGGTGCGTTCATTAATTTTGGCTTTGAAACACGATTTGATTAAGAACAAATTTAATTGATAACCGATGAATAAAATCGGACATATAAACAACATTTATATTTGACAGTTTCCTGTTTTCCAAGTTACGCTTAGATCAGCTCTTAAGCTTTGACGTGCGTTATATTTCTCATGAATTGATCAATTTGCAAACGTAATTAAAGTTTATTATATCAGTATTTGCTTACAATGCGTTCATAATTTTGATTTTGAAACATGATTTGATTAAAATAAATTTAATCAATAACTGATGAATGAAATCGGATGTAGCAGCAACATTTATGTTTGATAATTTCCTGTTTTCCGGGGTTACGTTCAGATCAACTCCCAAAGTTTATGACGTACGTTATATTGTTACTATAAATAAACCTTTTATGCTGTCTTAAAACAGTAGTATACATTTATCAACAAAATAATTAGTCAGAAGTACAGTTTAACTCGGACTTTCGCTATAGGATTATACTCCTGATTTCTAAGCCTACAGCTTTTAGCTCCATCATTCCTACATAGAAGAATCACCACCCAGCTCTGCGACTTGATAACGAAAAAGCTAAATCTACAAACCTTCTCCTTGTATCATAACACTAAAATTCCTCTAAAAGAAACACTTGGGAGCCCTTATCCCCAATTTTGCAGATCTTCAGTAATTTCTACGCCTTTAACTTTATGTTAAGCACTAATCTTAAGAACTAACTTTATTACGTAAAATTTCGAGCATATTTATCTTTCTTCTTATAGTAGCTACAAGCTTTTAATTAGTATCATTAGCGCCTATAAATTCAGGTGCGGTTGTAGTCAATTTATATCGAAATACTTAAATAGATTGAGAAGACTTTCGGTAGTCATCCATGGATATAGTATTTTTCTACAATATTAATTACAAACCCGCTTTCATTTTCAGTAAATACTAGCTAATTAATAAAAATGGATGCACGCGGCGTCTAATTACTGGCATAGAATGGGACATAAGCGCACACTAAACAAAGTATTTCTAACGTATGATAAATGCTACCACTTTCTCTTTCAGTTAAGTACCGTAGTTTAAATAAACTGCTATAGTGTTTAATAACGATAAAAGTGAACTGCACTGCTGTAGTGCCTTGCTAATATTTTATACGATGCATGAATCATAATAGTATTGATAAATGTGTGAAAGAATCGAATGATGATATCAAAATGAAAGGATAAATTTTAGTTCACAAAATAAAATTGATATTAGGAAATGTTACATAATTTTCTACTAAATTTATCCAACATAGATTGCAAATTCAGTCGCTATACGATCGTTTTATCTACTTATAAGGATTCTATAGAATATTTTTTGTGATTAATTGTGTTATGTTGTTACTAAGCGACATCTCATCATCTTAATAAAGTCAGTGCGGCTAGGCGATAGTGAATGTTCCAACATAAAAAACAAATCGAATTATTCCAAATTGGTGCGATTCTGTTAACCCTTGTACTAAATGCGGTATTTAAAGAATTGAATTAACGATAGAAAAGATATGCCTTTAATCAAATTTTCGCAATATTGATCATTTCTACAGATTTTCTAGTTCAAGTATATATTGATAGCTTTATCCTTTTAATCTGTATAAAGTTGTATGCTTTAATTAATTTAGAGACATCCTAAGTCAATTTGTTACCGAAATAATTCCAGGCAAAAGCGATTAGGCTATCACTTGCGACATCGAAACATGTATTAATTGTTGTTTACTTCGATATGATGACATCCAATAGTATCAGTTATTAATTTAATTTTAAGAGTAATCTAAAGATTGTTTACTACTTTATACATTAGAACAAGATAGTACAAGATAAACTTCTTTTGTATTGTGATTTTAGCAATGTTCATGATTAACAATAAACTGCCACGTTTAGTCTTAATAAAGATGATCAATTAAGAGTATTACTGCTGTTGTTAACATTGATTCATTCAATACCAGTAAAAATATGATTATCTTAAATTGCATAAATACTACATCTTAAAAGTCTAAATACGGTATATAACAGAGGAGAATTTGAATTGCAATCAGCTTTCTATTTAAGGCAGTTAAAGGAAATAGATTTATTTGTTTGAATGTACTTTTTCTCATCAAAACTATCAACATTGCTTCTTAATTATTAATTAGAGTGCCGTTAGGGATCAAGACCTATTTATATTCTTGATCTATCCTGAAATGGAATTGATACTACAATCTTTCTATCTGATATTATATGGACTAGACGAGACTTCTACTCCGGTAAAACAACAACACAAACGAGTGCCGCCAGGGATCAAGACCTATTTATACTCTTGATCTATCTTGAATGGAATTGGTACTATAATCTTTCTATCTAATATCATATGGACACGATGAGATTTCTACTCCGGGAGTAACGACAAAAATCTAAGCATTTAATAGCGAATCAATATCATAACTTATTTATCCCATATACACGGACTAGTTATCATCATAATTTGATTATAATAACTGAAACGCAAACTTTCAGTATTAAATTAATACTATCACCTTTTTATCCCATAGTAGCAAAGCTAGATAAAATTATAATCTAATTATGATACTTAAAATCCTAGCATTATGTAGCAGAAAATTAAATTAAATTAATTTGACAACAAAGAAAATCAGCTTTAGTCCTGCTTTTTTATGCTCTTCTCCCTAACTGTATTGTAATAGAAGCATGTTTGATATTTCAATATAGGTGATTAATTATTGTACTAACATTCTTATTTTGACTAAGAGGGTATCTAGGAACAATAAGAGATTTACGGTCAGTAATTATACGTTCAATGCTTCCTTATCGAGTTAACTATACTCATTCACGAGAAGTTATTTGAATCTATAAGGTCAATCTGATCTTGAACGGATCAGTTGAATTAGTGATATCTTTTACTAAATCTGTAATTAGTTTATTGATATTGCTATCAAAAAGCATAGATGGGCAATTTTTCAGTATTATTCGTCGCACATACTACTTGCTTAGAAGTACTTAATTTATTGGAAGCAATATAAAACGCAATCATTTTACTTTTGCATAGAGTAAAAGTTTTGTTATATGATACAATAAAGTTGTTTACTATATTTACAATTGAATGCATTTCAATATCGATTCTAGACTCATTTACTTGACGTTATAACAATCGTAGCATATTGTTCTAATATTATCAAAACATATTTCTTATGTTTTCTGTTTCACCTTGGAGGCAGGAAGTTGTAATTTCAATAGATTTAATTTTATTATATTGGACTATGATATCATCATCGCATGCTTGCTCTCTCCATGTGATTTTATATTTTTATGAATGATAAATAAATATAGAATAGCCATGATGAATGCATCAAGATTCAAAAATTTCCTTTGTAGTCCATTGCGTGTTTATAATCCAGTATAAAAAATAATACGTATAACCAATATTCGAATTCCTTTTAACGTAACAGGATCTTGATAAATTTAGCCATCTATTAATATCCGTGACGTGTCCATTTTGACAACACTAACACGAAAGTATCAGAATAAATTTAAGAGAAACGACTATATTATCTAAACCAAATGCTGCCATATCTTAATAATCACAAATCTTTATTGACTCCTTCACCTATTCCTTTTATTAAAAAATAGCTCTTCATTATAGTCGACTTATGTGCGCTCAATGGTTGCACTATTTCTGTTGTTGAACATACGTAAGATTATGACATATAAACGGCACTATACTATCGCTCGCGCTACTTTAATACTGTTATGTACCCAGCCACCTTGAACATTATTGAATAGCTACCAATGTTAATACCGAGCGATATAATCTTTAAGCTAAAGGATAACTGACAGGGCGTAAGCTATCGGTAAGAACAGAAATCCTCGAAAGAAATCAATCACATAAACAGTAAATTCCTATCTGAACATCACAAATAATTAGATAGATACGTTTAAATTTAAGGTGAAAAATCAACTTTTTTACTATACTCCTTATGAGATTGAATGCAGGACTACAATTTAATGATTCTTAGTGTTAGTTTTAAATCTACGATAATAGCACCTACAGCTTTTAATTGATGCCATTAATTTATAACTAAAATAAAAGAATAAATATGTCCACAGTAAATTATTGTACTTTCGGTAAGCTAAAGTAGCAATAGCAATTTTTTGAGTTATTTTAAAAATAATATTATTCATTCTGAAGTATGCAATATAGTGTATGTCTGTAGGATTATATCATCATTAAAAGTAAAACATTGATAACTGAAATTATTCCTAACTATACAAATACTATCATTAAGAATATTTGAAAAAATACTAAATAGAACAAACAATATATTTGATGTCAACTGGAAAACGATAATTGTGATCCGTTCTATGCAAATTAAGTGATAAAAATAGGACAATCGTATTAATGAATTAATCTATGAAATAGAAAAAAGTTCATTGCTGAAATAGTAGTTACTTCAGCAACAACGATGTTGAATAAATTAAAATCGTGATCTCAAGATAGTACTCGATGATAAATAAGACAGTATCAAGATCTAAAATAGTAAATGTACATCATTATTATCATCATAAGCAACGAATGGAGATAATTTGATTTAATTCAGCTACTTTTAAGAGCTATAATCTATTTTAAATATCGCAACAAAATGGATTTACATCTTTATTATCTATATCATAATCCAGTCTAACTGTTTACTGTGTGTAAGTAATTACAGATTCATAAATTTTCTAACAATGCCATCAAGTAGAAATATCCCACTTACAACACATTTTCTGGCTTATCGAAGCACTCTAGGTAATAAAACATCTTCATTCCACCTATTGATTTTGGATTAACATCGCATGAGTTAATATACGTTTCTATTTATATCAATTTAGATACTACGAACAAATGCGCAAGGATGATATTGATTAAAGAAAATGTAGATTGCAGCTTAATTCTATCATCATGTATGGAAGCATGATCTAATTAGTTTATCCCTTAGTAGTGATCGTAGCTCACAAAGAATGATTTATTAAGCAAACCTTAAGCTAAAGCCCATCAGAGTATTTAATTAATTGAATTTCTATGTAGTAATTGTATTTAAAATGCAAAGGATCAAAATCACATTGTGACCCTTAATAATAATGTAAAATCGAGTTTGGGCATAATTTTGATGCGATTAGCATTTTTTACTTATCTAAATCTGTCACAAATGACTATGCCCTTCTTTAGTGTTTACTTCTATACATATCAGTGATTGTTCTGGCTAATTATAGGTACAGATACTAGTTATTAATGATGTTACATTGGGTTAGTAGTTAAAGACATTATTGTTATCTGTGTCGTTATTATTATCATGAAGGAATATTATATACCATTTTAAAAATTTAGATTCTTCACAGGTAATGATAGAATTCTACATAGCATTATATAATCAAATAGATAAACACTAATTTTTCTAGCCTATCATCTATATGCCATCTATGTCTATCTCATTATTAAAATATTATACTACATAATAGCAAATAATCACCATGTTTCTAATACTGACAGGTGCACAGGTGAATAATTCTATTCATTTAAAGAAGAAAGATTAAATTAATAAATGAAAATGGAAATCTTAAATTATTATTATAAATCGATATATATGTTACGGCCAATGTTATATATAACACCTATACTAATACATAGGTAATGATCGGGTACGTAGATCTATGCAGATATATTAATAGATTGTAGGCGAAAAAAGTGATGAAGAGAATGCTAGCATATGCTTGTTAAGTTCTATAGAGCTTTATTGGAACTTTGATTTATTATAAAAAAAGCTAGGCATTGAATAAATTATAAAAGAAATACACATGGCTTATTATTGATAATTACCACTTGGTTTACAATAGATAGCCATTAAAAGTGTTATTCTTTTCTTAGAAATAAACGACACTATCAGTATAACGAATCAATTTCTGCTTTCAATTATGCATTATCCTTTCTATTCTATGTATCGACATCTATTCATAGTTTTGCATTGTTGACTGTTGATGATTTTGTATGGCGTTAAATAGATTTGATCATACCGTCCATCAAGTTCAGATCATGAATAATTCTCTTTGATTTAACGGTTGATTTAAGTTTTATATAATGACAATATTTTGAAATAGGTTATAAGATAAAGTTGTGAGAACAGATAAATGGAAATAAAGTACGATTGAATTATTTTAGCAGTCTCTGCCCATTATGTGCTAGGACTATTACTATGATAATGTTAAAATTGAAAAATAGAGATTAAGATTACTCGCATTTAATTATCTCTAATTGAAAGGAATTTTTTAGAAGAATCACGCAATATTATTGGCTATGATTATAGTGATAACTGAAAGACGCATACTCTGAGCTATATAAATATTTAGCATAGACTGATATTGGTATATTTACTTTTAACTACGTATTATAACTAGGCTCTGATGGTCGCACTATCATATATAATAGAAGAAACAGAGAGAAAATGAGTCAGGGAAAATGGTTATAATTTATGAAATACTATTATCTACATGTTAGGCGTTATGTTATTTGAAGTTACTATTCCAGAAAAAAGAAAAAGAAAAATTCGATAAAGAAGTTAATGATATTCATACGATGATACTCACAAATTGATTAAGAAATATACATATCAGGATAAGTCGGCGTTATATTATTAAAAGTAAAATCTTAATTTATGATCAATTAAGCTTTACGTTGCGAAAATAAAATTTTATGCATTAATACATTTCGATGGCGATCCAATTGATTATAAAATTTTTGCTATGCTATTACCATTAAGGCCGTAGAAATCAAGCATAATCGTCAATTCAACTACAAACTTCTGTACATATTCACAATCTTTTACTCTAACACTGTTATTTAACAATCATCAGCTTAACATTAAGCAGAAGCAAAAAATGGTCAATGTTACATTTCAAATACAAATGTCTGAAGAATTTGCGGTAGGATCAATGATTATCCTTGTCTTCATTTTTGCAGTTGGATTGTGCGGCAACGCCATAATCTGCTGTTATAAAATTAAAGATGGTCGAAAAATGAAAGTGCAAGATATTCTCGTATTTAACTTAGCGTTTTCTGATGCATCCTATGTAACATCAAGGTATGTAATGTAAAATTTCTCTTTTTCATTATGCTATTACAGCTACAAGATTAGTAATTGCGTGGATATACAATACACTACCATAGATGATCGAACCTTAACAAGATTTTAGTGATTCGTATTATTTCTATAATGTGATGTGGTTGCCGATGATTTATAGTTTCAATTTTATATTCTTTTTCGCCTATTTTAATTTTGGGTCAGTTTCGAATTTCGATTTATTTTCCTTTATCGCCATAATTCTCATGTAATTAATTTGACGAAAACTGGCATTATAGGTATAGGATCAACATGGACTAAAATGATAAAAAGTACTTAATGATAAATTGATTAATTAAAAAATTGCAACCGTGAAATGGTGCTTTATTTATGTCTATCTATATTTTTTGGAAATCTTACAAAGTATGAGTTATTAATATCATAACCTATTAGCTGATATGGTATTTAATCTTTCTAGTTTTATAGGGCTATTCCAAATATTTTTTCGCGTTTATCTTAATCAACTTCCAATCTATAAATCAAATACATTACTTTGCCGACTCAATATCTGTATTCCATTTTATTTTGGTGTGGTCAATGTATTCTCTATGGCACTATTAGCTATCGTTCGCTATCTGGCTATTAATAAACCAAGAACGTTTTTATCCCTATCCAGAAAGTCCTACTCTTTGGTGATATTCTGCTTAATCAACTGGTTAGTACCTGCTCTTCTAGCATTTCCTCAAGCTTTTCGTTTATGGGGTGGTGTTACTTATATTTCGGATGTTGGATTTTGTTATACCATTTATCATTATAGCCAAGGATTAAATATCATCATCTTTTTCACAACTGTGATTGTCGGCGTTATAGTTGTTCCTTTGACCATTATATTTCTATGCTATTGGAAAATCTATCAAGAAGTACGCCGAAATCGTTCAAGAATTGCCTATCATGACAACAGACCTAATGTAATCTTGCCAGCAACTCATGATAAGAATAGAAGCCTGAGAGTCCGTGCCCGATCCAACTCAATTAAAAGTTTTTCTAGAAAGCGAGAAATCTATGTCGCAACCACTTTATTTATTATTTTATTAACCTTTACCTTATCCTACATCCCTTATAGCATTATTGCTATCATAGCATTTTTTCGAATCTCGCCATATCAGATTAGGGTTCATCTCATATTACTATTTGTAACATATCTTGGTAACATTGCTAATCCCATTATATTTATTATTCGTAATAACGATATTCGAAAATGGTTAAAGCGGCTATTTCCATCTTGTAGTCTATTTCAGCTTTACTCTACAACAAGTATTGCTGATATCGCAACTCAAGATAGACGAGTCTAAAGTAGATAAATTCATTAATACATATAGCAGTGTATATTTTATTTCTAATGACATGTACAATATTTTACACATGATAATCGAAAAATTACTGTTTTACAATATTTACTCGTATGTATCATCATCGATTTAAGAAAGTCTTTACGCCCTAATACTCATTTTATTTATTTGTATTACTCAATAATATCACTTTACAATCTTAGAGCTAACTCCAATTTAAGATAGCATTGCTCTATGTCAAGTATCGAAACTAAATCGTTTGTGTTTCTTAGACACATTCGTTGAAAGGGATTACGATGTATTTGTAGTCTTTTTCAACCGGTAGATCTATAGATAAATATATTGTGAAATGATAATTGATAAAACTGATGATATACCGCTACATTACTCCTACTTAATTGCAAGATGTTGATACATCATAAGCTTTCCAATTAAAATGAGTCTAATTTTATTGTCTTCAATATTCTAAGTAAAGTATAATTTTTCAAAACAGATAAAAGGTATCCGCAGGCAAATTTCTCGTTAGCCGATTTAGCATTATATACTAATAATAAATGGTCTTCATATTAATAATTTTCATACTTTTGACCACGGCCAAGATTATGACTCAATATAATTTCCCATTCAATTTCTTCCCATTTACTTACAAAGAGATTGATGATGGTCGGAAAATAACTTAATTTTTAAACATCTATTTTTGCTTATTAGTATATGCTAAATTCAACCTTTTCAGTTTTGATTGAAAAATTATGTTATGTTTTTTAATTTACTAGTCAATGAGTCGGCTACTCTTGTATACGAAGTGTACATCAATTTAACCTGGCGTTATAGTAGTTAGCATTACCATTACTGCGTTGGCATGTATAAGCCAATAAAATTAAATAGCTTTTTCTTATCTTTTAATTGTAGCAAAAAATCCAACTTCATTCTAATGACACTACACCAATAAAGATGATAATAAGGAAAAGCTCATAATGGATTTTAATATTTTCTACCATAAGGCATATTGCATAGATATTTCTATTAAGAATGATAAAGGTAGAAAACAAGTTTAAAATTTTTATTTTAATTAACTTTCATTCTATTGCCTTGTCTAATGGTTCTGTATAGCAAAAAAGTTTTCATATAGTACAGTACTGAACATATTGTTGCTAGATATTTTTAAGTTTGTAATTTTCATTATCATAACACTAAATTTTATTCTCACCTGTCGTAGTCAAATAATAAGACTAATAATATTTAGAAGGTAAGTTGCAGTAGTGATGGATTAATTAGAACGTTTAAATTCATCACGGAAGTAAACCGAAAATAATTTGAATTTACCCTAATATAAACAATGCCCCTAGAACTGGCAATAATAACGATATGATAATATCTATATAAAAATTATACCCAAAAGCGTAAGCAGTCGCTTGCAGTATTGGCAAATTGATGATCCTTTAAATCTCTAATAGCTCGTCATTATCGCCATTTAATCTATAACCAGGGCACATAGTGATATGAAAGATTACGTGATAAATCTCTAACTAAATTGATTTGGTAATTCTATTTTGTACCGGGTAAGAGTTATGACTTAACGATTACGCTGTTATGATAGCGACAAGTATTGAAAGATAAAATGAAAATTTTTGTCTTAAACACAAGTTAGGAAAAAGTCATCATCGATTTGCTATAATTTAATATGTTACTATAAGATAGCATAATAGTAAAAATGGCGGTATCTAATTAAGATCCTAGTATAGCATATCTTCTAATATGATAAATATCGACTATATTTTAGAAAGATTGATAATAAACATAACGAGATGTCTATATAGCACAATAAAAATCAGATCTTGCCTACCTTTACGATTATTATAACCGGAAAGAAAAATGTCGATCTTAAGAAAGTCTCATTAATAAATATTGTAGCGTGTATTTGTTCACAAATGTTTCATCTATCTTTTCTGCGTGCGGATATCGGCAATTGTCACGGGGGAAGATGAATTGAAAATAGGTGTATACAACAGACGAAGGTAATAACAATCCTTTAGGATCAAAATTATATAGGATTATGTTGTGTATTAAATGAAAAATAGGAAACTAGAATAATTTTGAGTTATTCTATGCTTTGTTAAATGCTTTTGTCCTGATACTTTATTGATGAGTAGGTAGAAGTTGCAAAGGAAAGAATAAAATTGTGCGTAAAACCTCAGGAGAGTAGCCTGTGCCTCGTCGTAGGTTAATGTCATAATAAATGAATGTAAATATAGGCTCTTCTATATTTATGGAGATATGCTTAATGTCAGGATAAAAATAAGAAGTAGGAGGTACCTTGTATTCTATTTTAACTACAATTGATAGATGAGATTGAACGCTGACTATGGCAGCACGCGCCCTACGGTACATTAAAGGGAGGGTGGCAGGGATTCATTGCATTACGGTACCATTATAACCATATTTTAAATTACTGTTAAAGTATAAGTAAGTTTTATACTAGAAATCGACTAAAGATAGAAATAACTGATATTTTAACAAGAAACCTTCTAGAACTGTTTGTACGTGTTTTGACAACATAATAGTAAACTATTCGTATAGCTTTAAAAGGAATCAACCCCATGCCGGCTATCAAGGTAGGAATATAACACGAGCTTGACACGTGCTTATGTGATTAGGTACCATATTTACAAATTTGCAATTCGCTTTATCAATATTTGCCTATTTAGTCCAACATACCATGCCATTGGTCATAGTATGTACTTGTAAATAATCACATCAATTTATTGTTGCAAAAATGCAGAATACGTAGGCAGTATAGGAGAGAAGTAAGGATGCATGTTACTCCACTACCAAGATCTGCTACATCTCATTGCAGGATATAATTTGACTGACAAATGGATTATATTACCGTTTCAGTCTCACTACGTAAGGTAGTATTAGTGCAATGGACAAGTAATTATATATTTGGTACATTTCTGATATTAGTTGTCCACTAAAATTATATTTCAAAAACAAATGATCCTATACGAGTTAAGATGTTGGAGTTAGTAATAATTCAAAATAATTTCATAAATGAATTTGATTATATCAGCACGAAATCGGACAAGTCTATATTCAGATGATATAACAACAGTGTGGTAAATCGTTATTACGGTTATAAATTCCTATAATTCGTAGCATTACATGAACATCTTACCTGAGATGACGTTTTAATAGGAATTAGGCAATGCAGAAAGTGTTAATAAGTGTTGCTTGTTATCACAAATATCAACATTATTTGCTTTCTTTAATTTTATCATTCCATTAATCATTACGATGGACTGCCATCAGAAGGTTGGCAGTTTAATTTACAGATCAAGACTAACTATAATGTAGACCTACCAATGCAGCATACCAAGTTGTTTTTATGACTTAATACTGTCTAGGAAACCGGGATCTGAACAGAACTGTGCTGTAAAATCAGATGACATTAAAAAATTGGCTACTAGTGATGCAATTTCTGCAAATAAGCATGTATTAGCAGTAATAAACATTCAAATCGACGTAGATTCCGATTTATTTACAATACGTATTTAAGATACAAGGCAAATTATTGGTGGTTCTGTATATTAAAACTACTTTAATAGTTATTATATCATTCATGTACAGTATATGAATGTGTATATGAATTTGAGGGCTACCAAGATAAAGAGATTACAGTGAGCAAATATTAATTGTTGTCACAAAGCAGGTAAAAGTGGAAAAGATCTTTTCAACCACCTCTACTTATCCGTAACGTACCTTGCAGGAAGATTTTAAACATAATTTTATTAAACATTTTTTTAAACACAAGTACATCAAATTATGAGTTAACAGTTTATACTCCGTATATCGTATTATAGACGAGCTCCAAAGTATTTTATTAATAAAAGCATTGTAGTATCTATACTCGTTTTGAGCGCTCTCGTATTCGCTAACCCATCCATGCAAGAACATCAGACATAAAAGTTTCAGCTATGTTTGTATCTTGTAATTGTAGTAAGCAAACGACAATTGCTGTACGTTCACACAAGAAGCGCCGGAAAGATTGACGATCTCAGATTAGACAAATATAAAATAAAAAGTATAGACTTCCTGTCTAGTACCATGTAATTCAAGTAAAGATTCTGTAAATAAATTAGCAAAATCTTAGAACTGTAAATATGGCTAATAGAATGAGATACGGCATTAGTAATTATTGAAACATATGTTCTGGTATTAGGCTTTGCAAATGTCATTATCTTTCTTGCATAATATGAATTAATTCAGTAAAAGTACCAAATGTAGTAGTTGCGTCTATCGAATAAGTTTCGTCAAGTGCCATTGAAATCCATTAGAATACCTAGAATTTCTTTAAAATGAGCACGATTCGACAATTAAATATAATGCTGTTTCACTTTAGTTGTATGCAAGATGTCTACTTTCGTATATATTCTTGAAAATCGTCTTTCAAGCAAAACAGTTTGTAGTTAAATACTGAGCCTTTAGTAATACAATATTGCCGGGAATATACTCCTATCTCTCTAGTCGATCTTCAATATTGTGCAAACATTGGTCATGAAATGAACTATGCAGTTTCACGAAATAAAAACGTGACCTTTTACTCAAGTTGATGCTATCTAATGAATTCAAACCATTCGTCTAAACAACCAAGTATAACAAAATACTGTTAAATGGGCATAAAACATCTTCAATATACCTCCGAATGTGTTATCAAGTACTTCATCTAGACACTGTAGCTTTCATCATCAAGAAATAGATACAATTTTTATGGTCATTATTTCCCAACCAATATTACTCATGTAGTCAAGTTAGTTTTTGATATATGATCTTACGCAGGAGGTTATAAAAATAAATTAATTTAATTTACATTTAGCAATATTGGAAAATGGTGACCTACTCCTACCTTTGCCACTATCATTCAATATTGTAAACTATGAATTTATTTTCATCTATATCTTTTTATTGAAGAATTGATGTCTTTAAATTTAAAAGATGACACAAAT